AACCGGTCAGGGGCCATGTAAGAAAAGCACATGTTCTCTCCAAGCCCCGATCAAATTGGATTTTTAATCCACCCGGTGACTGCAAAATAAAAACCTGATTTCTTCATGGCAGCTATTTGTTAGCAAGTGGGTTACCTTCTGCCCCAAGCACACTCTCCATCAAGACAGGAGGTGGTCATCTCCAATCGGCCTCCCTCAGGCTCATTTCTGGCAATCCTGTTGCCTCAGAGCTTGACTTGCACAGCACAGGGGTGGACTGGGTGTGGCTCGGGATGGGTCGGGCGCGGGAGACGGCGCTGAGCTAATGCTGGCTTGTGCTCTCTGCATTGCAGCCTGCGACGTGGGCCGCTGGGGGGCGGACTGCGCCAGCCCCTGCGACTGCGGGGACAGTGGCGGCAGCTGTGACGCGGTGACGGGGGACTGCGTCTGCGAGGCGGGGTTCGGCGGCGCGCGCTGCGATCAGAGTGCGTGGGCTGGCCGGGATCGCATTCGCTCTTGGTGTGGGGTGGCAAAACACCCCGGGCAATTTAAAGACATCCTGTTTCCCAGGTCTCCCTAGCTAATGGCTGATGCTGCACAGGCTTAGAAGAAACTTAGACCCCCTGAACATGTGTATGTGGCTTCTACATCTGAAAGCAGGGATTAAATTCAGATCAGTGTCTCCTTAATCGAGGCACTCATCGTATTATGAGAACCAGTCTTAATTTGTCCTCCCCTCTGCACACTTCCAGCTTTTTAAGAAGCTCAGCCTCTAATATTTGAATTGTCTTCATTTTGCTACCCAGAATGCACTGCGGGCTCTTTCGGCCCGGGCTGTCGCTACCAGTGCCAGTGCGACAACGGGGCGGCATGTGACCATGTGAGCGGGGCCTGCACCTGCCTGGCGGGGTGGACCGGAACATACTGCGAAAGGCGTGAGTCACCTTCTGCCAGGAATAGCCGAGAGACTGGAGGTGGAGCTTTAAAACTCTCCTTGTAGAAGGTGTCTGCATTCTCACAGTGCTTTCACAACAGGGCAGTTGCCTTACGACAAGAGAAATAATGCCACACAGTGGAGCTGAAGAAATGTGACGAGCAGTGGACAGTGCTGTTGCAGTTCAGCAGGCTTCAGTAGAGTTCAACAGAATGAATCTCCAGCACAGGAATCTCCTTTGAAAGTCACGTTGGAGTCAACTGGAGGTTTTGCATTAAGCCCCTGGACTTCCATCATTGTGGTTGCTAATGTTATAAATATTTTAATAAAGTTCTTCTTTGGAGTGCATTTATTTTACATGCATTCATGTCTTCTGCACTATTATACAGTATCTACAGAACTTCAACATTGAATTTCCACATTTTCCAACAAATGGGGGACTTTCTGATAAGCAAACCCTTTGCCTGTAGCTCCTACAGTCTTTTGTGTTCTCCTGCAGCCTGTCCTGAAGGGTTCTATGGCGTGGAGTGTCGGGAGATGTGCCGCTGTCTGAACGGCGGGCGCTGTGATCACCTGAGTGGGGCGTGCCTGTGCCCTGCCGGTTGGGTTGGCCCACACTGCAACCACAGTGAGTCCAGCAGCAGGCCCTCTGGCGCCCCTGCCACCTCCGTAATCAACACCCAGTGAGGATGAGTGTGAACATGCACTGCACACAGCAGCTGTTAGGAGTTTCAAAGGTGCATGCCTGCTAGGGCAACCTCTTTGAAGGCTATTGTACAAAGATGCACAGGACTCGAGCTCCATCTTCATCTTCTAATTAAGCTGGATAACTGAAGCGAACAAGTAAGAAAGCATTGCACCTGAATGATCCAACAGTCCGGTCCTTTGCAAACTCAGTACACCACATATACTGTATAAAGGACAGACACACTTTTCCTCACATTTCAGATTTGTACCTCTGATCAGGGCATGTAAATCCTGTTTAATCATATCATGTGTGTTATCTTGCTACAGCGTGCCTGCCTGGTTTTTATGGGGAGGGCTGCAACCAAACCTGTGACTGCCACAATGGTGCCAGCTGTGACCTAGTGACTGGGCAGTGCCACTGTACACCAGGCTGGACCGGGCACAACTGCCAGCAAGGTAGCGACCAACCCCACTGCACCTTGGACTGGGTGTACAGTATCTCCCCTCTGCTGGCGCGGGGCAGGCTGTGAACAGAGCTGCAGAATGAGATCCCGCTGTACTGCAGCACGGGAGGATTTTAGGAAATGTCTGCTCTGTTGGCCGCCCTGGCTTATTTTTAAGCGTTTTTTTCCCCCCTGAAAGGCCATAGCTAATAAAATTAAAAGTTATGTGCATTCTTGCTTTTATGGTTGTAAAACCAGTCACCACCTTGGAAAGATCTGTGCTGCTGCTAGCTGCTCACTGAACTCCTGGCCACCAAGACGTGACAATTTTGGAATTGTCTCCCTCTGCATGTTCTTTCTCACAGACCCTGCTTATTCAAGTTACAAGTCTCAATCCAGTGGACGCGTTCCCTGGATTGCACTGCAACCTCTTTTAGAACTTTCTGCAAGCTCCGCAAATATATCGTTCCGAGTTCCGTCCGAAACCTAATCTGGTAATGAGACTAGCAGCTTGAGTCTTTGTTTTTGGCTGAAGTTACACAGAAGCCATGAGAATGGAAGCTTCACTTGGCTTCTCTCAGTTTGAGATTGCAGCCATGATTCTGACCCAGTATGGGGGCTTGTTGTCCTTCTCAGCCTGTTCACCTGGTTTCTATGGAGCCGACTGCCGCCAGCGCTGCCTGTGTCAAAACGGGGGGTCATGTGACCGCGCTAGTGGCCGTTGCACGTGCCCAGACGGGTGGATGGGGCTGGCCTGCGAACTGGGTAAGTCTGAGCAAAGCGAAAACAAATGAACCAAAATGCGTGTTGCTATTAGAATCCGGAATTTCCTTGCAAAAATCTCCTGCCGAGACTTTGTCAGCTCCGTCCGATCAACTTCAGTTTGTGCCTCTCTCCTGCTGGAGCTCCTGTATTAGTTCCAACATGTCCAGGAAGTTGTTCTCATTAGCTACAGCTCAAGAACTCAGGCGAAACTCCCCTCTTACTCCCCTCGTAAGTGTCTCTGTCTGATGAAAATAGCTCATTATAGCAACAGAAGAAGGGCAGGTGATTGAGGTTTATCTCCTCATGGTCCTGAAAAAACTCAAGGTTATGCTGGATATACTATATCCTGAGCTGAATGGGAAGTATTTCTTCAAGCAAGACCTATTTTTTAATTAATATTGTATTAAAATCTTTTAAACTGGTTCTTGCAAATACTACCCTGGGAGCCTTTTCCTCGAAGGCTTTACTGAGGTAAAGCCATTACTGTAGCTTCATTCCACAGCAAGAGCCACTAACATTTCTGCTGAGCAAATTTGAAGTATCACACAGGACATTGCTCTGCTGTATCTAGCAACTTCATTTGCACCTACTGTAAATAATTATTTTTAAGCATCAGTTGAGATACATAGCACATTATATAATTGTATATATACTTTATAGTGTGTGTACATATGCACTATGTTCACTTGCCAGGACAGTGGCTGATTATCTATCTGTAAACCTAAATTCTCTTGCAGTTATTTATGTTATGCTAAATACAGATTTTCTGAAGTTTCTTTTTAAAAACTCTGGAATGTTTATGACATGTTATGAATCACCACATCAGCTGGTACCCAGCCTTTGCCTCGCAAATAGAAAGAGGAAGTCATTAATTCTAGGCAGACATGCCTCTAGGGACTGCTTCACTGTACTTCTTTTGAAAAATGTCTTGCCTTCGGTAAGTGTTTACCATAAGAAACAGTTACTGTACTGGAGACAATTTTAAGTTCATCTACAGTAGTTCAGTTTCCAGAGCCCTTTTGAATACCTCTCAGAGAAATCAAATACAATAATTTCAGGATAGTCATGAAGTTAACCATGCAATGTCTCATTGTGTGCACTTCACACTAGCTTTCTTTTGCTTTTCAATAATCCTGAATTATTTTTGTTCTTTTATGGCTGCATCCCTGTGCTTTTTGGTAATTTTGACATACAGTAGTTGGTGGTTTTAATGGCTGTAGACGACATGCTCCAGTGCTGAAGCCGACACTGGAGATTTTACAATGCAATTAAGTCAGTCTTTCCCCCCATACATACTTCCTCACATTTTATTGATCCCTGTCTGCGTATTTTAAACTTTTTACAAGCTATAGCAAACCCTGGCTAAATATTTTACTGTAATGTTTGGGCAAAAGGAAACACTTCATTGGTGCCAAACAGTGTTCATAGATCACTGAAGAGCTGAACTAGGAGGCTTGAAAGAGAAACAGTGAACTTGTACCAGCATGGAGAGGGTGACAGAAAAAGAATCACATGAGCTGTGCAGTTTGTGTCCAGTGGATACTGATCATTTTCTGGCTTGGGGTGTCGCACTCCTGCCTCACAGTTCCTGGTTCCCGGGTTCGATTCCAACTTTCACTTGTCTGTGTGGAGTTTGCATGTTCTATTCCTGTCCACATGAGCTTTTGCCAAGTGAGGCAATTTCCTCCCACCTCCCAAAGATTTTGCTGGCTAGGTTAGTTCATATCTCTCAACTGTTCCTGTGTATTTTTGTGCTTATCCTGTGATGGACTTGTGTCCCCCACTGGGAATAAGGGGCTTTCTGATTATGAGTGAATGGATCGATGGTTATTTCCTCCAGGCTATTAAAATGCCAAACCTGTGTATATGCAAACTATCATCCACTTGTCCAAAAGTTCAAGTCCTGTTGTTTCATGTTTCATACTATTGTTTTGCCTCTTTCAGCCTCTC